GCTGTGTGTATCTCATAAACCGGGAAAGTTACTACAGTTGAAATTTTCACTGATGATGGACTATATTAGGGGAAAAGTTTCTTCGCATTTTATTCGAAAATTAATAATTACTTTATTTGAAGCCATCTTATAGGTAGGGACATGATGCCAATGCTATAGAAATTTTGGGGCTTCTGATCAAAAAAGAAAAACAAAAGAGGTTTTGGCAGTCCTCGCGTGATGTTAGCCTGATACTGCCCAAAGAATTCTGTAGAGACCAAAACAGGTGGTGTCTGAAGGTCAGGGCTATATGACGGATGCAATAACACCTTTCAACCAAATTCTCTTAATTTTTGCTGATAGGCAAAAATGTGTGATGCCTAAAGTTAACATGATGAAAAATACACCCCTTATTTTTATTAATTCTGGCTGCTCTTTCTCAACTTCTTGCTTTAATCATCAGGTGTTCGCAGTAGAATTCAAAATTGATGGTGCTACCTGGCGGTAACAGCTAAAAATGAATAATGCTTTTCCGATCCCACCATATATACAGCACCACATTGTTGCGAGTTAACCTGGGTTTTGCCACAGTCTGTGAAGCCTGCCAGACCTTTGAAGAAAGAAAATACATTTATTGACCATATGAAGACGACCTTTTTCGCACGTTCTTGTCGTATCCACTTTTCATCACCAGTTATCAGTCTTCTTTAAAAATAGTTCTGCTTCATTACGCCTTAATAAAGAATCACAAATGAGTACACGGTTCATTAGGTTTCTTTCAGTGACCTCGTGAGATACCCAAATATTTAACTTTTTCATGTATCCAACTTTATAACGCATTTGAAACGTTCTTCAGCTAAGTCATAACCAAAGACATGCCGATCTTGTTCCACTTTTTCAAAAATCGCATCCATTTTATCCAAAACAGGTGACCGAAGCGATGTGCATCTTTGACATCAAAATTTCCGTACTTTCACAGAATTTTTGCAATCAAACGTTTGCTACTTTCAAAGAAACTGTACCCACAAATATCACACGTGTTTATTAGATTCACTTAATCTGACAGCTATAAATGAAGTGGAAGGTCCACAAATAACACACGTGTTTATTAGATTCACTTAATCTGACAGTTATAAATGAAAATCACATATTTTCCTAATTTGAATTCGGAGTAATCTTCTTTCAAATTTAAACTTTTTAATGATACCGAAACCAGCCAGATGCAAATGGTATAGATTTTATTACAAGTTTATGCATACTATACGCGAAAAGACTTTTGTTCCCCAACCTAATATTTCTCTTGCCGAGAAAAACAAAAGAATTCGTGAATGCCGACTTGCACTTGATCGGTTCTTTACTATCATATCAGCACCTCACTCTAGTTTTAGAATTCAGCACGCATAGTATGAGGAACTTGAGAGACTCGAAAAAAAGCTCGAGAAACACGAAAAACACTGCTCGAGAGACTAGTTACGGGTCAAGTTAAATACAATAACAAACAATATGTCATTCTCTGTCTTGTCACGTCCAGACTCCAGGAGGCATGATTTTATAAGACATTTTATACAATCTTCGTCATATTTCGCCCAGTAAAATCGTAACGAATAATATTCGTACATAAAATCTATGGTATTTGATTTTTGTTAACTATTAATATGAAATATGAATATATTTCAAACCCGCGGCCCTTTTTCTCGACTACGGCAAAGCGAAAGGGAGGGTTATAATTTTGGCCGGTATGTACGTATATGTAAGAATGTTCATCTGTTCCCTTATAACTTCGAATCTACTCATCGTCTGGACAAATGAGATATCAGATGCATCTTAGTTCGTGCTATAAGTTATGTGACGTTACATTAAATTGGCAACAGCGTCCTATTAGAGAGTATAAAGTAAAAAACTAAAAAAAGAAATAATTATTATTGAATCATTCCGTGTAGAGCATATGAGAACATATATTAAATAAAAAAAATAAGTTCAAATAATAAAACCCGACTACAGCTAAATCACGCTCAAAAAAATTAAAAATGCTTAAAAATCCACTTTGTACAATAAAGACTATTAACAATGTTTTTCACTATAGCACTGTTATTAGAAAATTGGTCAAATATAATAAGAAATTTATTTTACAGCGATAGCTATATTATAATATAGCGATGACTAAAGGACAGCGTAGTCGTATGCCACTGATCATAACAATACCGACTACACTGTCACCGCTATTATAATATAGCAAATGCTTAAAATAAATTACTTGCTTCAAAATTTTTTGAGCGTGATTTAGTTAATCTATTTCTAGTATTAACAGTACAATTTATTGTTTCGTCGTTCCTGTGCGTAATTCTTTCCCATTCATAAAATGGACAAAATTGGAAACCAATGTAATTTTAGCAACAGCATTGATAACTTTGCATCACTTGCATCTATACAAATAAAGTTGGAATGTGTGTTTGTAATTTTAAAATAACCGCTATTTACCAATTGCATATGAATATATACACGGTACATATACCTAAATAATATTTATTACATTTTTTGTCCGTCTGTCTGTGTGTCAGGATAATCTCTGAAACGACTAGGCCGATTTTGATGGAACTCCATCAGATAGCTTTGGTAATAAGGAGTAATTTAGACTACCACGCAGTCGAAGTCGCGAGCACAGCTAGTTTTATTATAAAAAGAAAATATTGTTTTGTCCATGTTATGTCATTCTTCTTCATTCTTCTTCAATTTTCCAGAACTGTTCTAAATACAATAAGGTTAATTTAATATGTATGCTTAAATCTTTAAAACTACGCAACGAATTTTGATGCGGTTTTTTTTTCATAGATTGGGTGGTGATTGAAAAGGAAGGTTTTTAAGTATAATACAAGGCCACCTGGGCAAAGCCGCTAGCGGAAAGCTAGTAGGCCATAAATTCACAACTAGTCCCAAATATATTTCGTGCAGTAAATGAAAACATACAATCACAGTATACGAAAGTACAACAAGTATTGACTTATCTCGCTGATGATCGTGATAGGGCCCTGTTAGAATCGGCTTTTTCCCAATATCAAAGACGATATATGGGGCGACATTACCGCTTTACTAGCACTGATACGATACGATTGATAAAACAATCTAATATTTGTAAGTTACGTTTCGGTGCGCATTTTTCGATTACTTGTTCGGAACTGAAACAATTTCGATTCAACATAACCGAAATCCATTATAAAAGGCTCAAAAAAATGTACACATGTATATGTAACTCACTAGCTGAATAGTCTACGAAATGATATTAATGGTTTCCGAATCCTGCTTATCTTACATACGACAACCATGCCATGTGGATACCAGGCCTATCTACTACACCACGACTTTAGAAGCGTTATAATCGCGCAATACAAATGAACAAATGCATTCGAATATATGTAAAATATTATATTAAAGTTTCGTGGTCGGATAACAATATTTGAACGGGTTTTTAACACTTTTGATTTTGGAATTTACATTTCTCATTTGACCCTTTTCGCATCTTTTGCAGTCTAAAGCTGCATTTACATCATACTACTTTTAGTGCACTAAGACTAAGAAATAGGGGCAACAGTACCTTTTTATTATTTTAATCCTTAATGTATTGGTTGTTATATTTAAAATTAAATTAATGTCAATTCATCTATTAGATTCGATCTATTAGATTTGTGTAAAAATATATTACCTCGTGTGTTCATAAGTTTGGAGACAGTTTTTAATGAAAAAATAAAATATAATATAACTGGATGTTATTTTTTTGCCCATTTTGAATTTGAAATGTTAACTTTTAGTTTATTTGTATCGCCAATTCATTTGTTTTAATTTTTTCGTGATGGAGGGATCGAAACAATTACGTGCAACTGTCATTTCGCTATTAAGGGGGGAAAAAAACCGATGCAGATTTTCCGCGAGATGAAAAGTTTTCTGTTAAGCCGTAATTTCGTCTATTACACAATAAAGGGTTCAAAGAGACAAGTTCTTTGCAAGATCGCCAAAGGAGTGGTCAGCCACAGCCTGCGAACATCAATCATCCATGAGCTACTTCGCCGAAATCCATGTCGCACTCAGAAGAAACTCGCTCTGCAGACTAATATTTCGCGCGGTTTTCACTGAACCGCGGAATACTGAAATATGATCTTAAGGTAAAGGTCTATTGTCGTAGAAAAGTTCTCATTTTGAAACGATCGTCTTCGAAAGTTACGACGCGAACGTTGTCCATCGCTGCTGACATAAGACATGATGCCCGGAAGATACTCTTCACCGAAGAGAAAATTTTTACTGTTGAAGAAAAGTTCAGCCGACAAAACAATAAAGTGTACGCTAAAAGTAGCAAGGATGTCACAGCGCCTGCACGGAATGTCTCGCGCACTCTAGTGATAGTGCTAGGGCTAGTGTGATGGTATGGTGGGGAGTTTCGTATGAGGGTGTCACTCCGCTCCATTTTTGCCAATAAAGTGCCAAGAATTATCAGAGTGACATTTTAGAGCCTGTGGTGAGTCCTTGTCTGATACATTATTTCACAATAAGGATTGGGTTTTTCAGCAAGACGCGGCGCCATAAGGCAAAAAGCACCCAAGCTTGGTTGAGGGTGAATGTGTAGGCCTTTATCGCGGCGGACAAGGGGGACAGGGGTTATAATTTTGAATAAAATATATATTTTATTGTTGATTATTATCTATTTAATGGTTACTGAAATATTTTGAAATATAAGTTAATTATTAAAAAGTTTATGCAACATCTATTTTGTCTCAAAATTTATGAACACAATAACACAAGGTATATTCTATATGGCTACAGATTGTTATTACAAAAAAGTCATTGTAATGAATTTATAGGTTACTGCCTACTGAAAATGTTTATATTGCCTTGTAAATGAATGGCTAGCAATACAATAATCAAAAATATCTCAAATAGCTACCTATGAATGTTATACATAAGCAAGTAAGGAATAACTTTGCATTCATAAAAGAGATTTATTGTTAATAATCTTAAAAATAAGAAGTACTCACCTTCGAGCAAGATGCAGCCTCTCCTGAGTGGTCAGGTGTTCCACCTGAGCCATCTCAGCCACCAAGTCAGAATGCTCCATTTTGATTGACCTAACATCAATAGTTTATAATGTCAAAATCTATTACTGACTTTTTTATACTAATATTGATGCTGGAAACCAAAACCCATAGTAACCTGCGAAATTCCAAAATTGTTCTTTAGGGCAGAATAACCAATTATTTTTTAGGAAAAAAAATTGTTAATTACATACATAGTAACAAATATGTTAGTGCATAAACAATTTATATGAAAAAAAGGTTTTAAAGTAAAACAGTTTTTTGGTTTGAAGAACAATTTTGGTTTTGCAGGTTACTACATGTTTGCTTTTCAACATCGATATATTATCATATATAAAACTATTATATTTATTACTTCAAGCAAAAACAATGTAAAAATATTAAAGAAATTGCAGATGATATAGAATAGAGATGTTAGTCAATATAATATAGGACACTTTCAAGTTTCTTAGTGATTAACAATAATTATTCTGTTAAATTACTACCATAGAATTAAATCAAGTTATATTTGTTTTTATGACAGAAGGATACAATAATTGATAGGCACGTAATTATATTAGTTACTAACAAAAACACACTCAAAAATGTACTATTGTAATTGATAGATGAAGAATGAATTTTAGTTCAAAATTAAAAATAAGATGACAGTTAGTACTTCTATATAAAAACTTTTAAATGACAGCAATGCTAAAGGAAAAACATAATAATAAGACAATTATACAAAGAATCAAGCAAAGTTGTTAACAAGAGCTAGGTTATTGACATCATTAAAATGCAATGTTTATCAATAATTCAACTACCTATATATAAATTAATGTTTATTTATATAAACACCTAGAAATATACTACTCATAACAAATAATCCCAATTTCTGTAAGACCTAGACTGAATTGGTTGGATAGTTTTAAAACTTCAATAAAAAAATGTTTAACTGGAGATTTTAAAACTTCTTGTTCCTAACTCTAAGTGTACTATAACCCTAGTCATATAATTAACTGCAACTTTTAAGACTAAATAAGAAGAAAAAATATATCATTATTAAAAAATAAAACTAAAATCTAATTAATCTTTATTACTATATAGATAAATACTATAGATGTTCGTCCAGGTACATTTAATAAACTATTTTTGAGGATTAGAAGGTAAAACTGATAACTACCAGTATTAACACAGATAAGATAAGGTTTAGAAGAAGGCACAGAAATGGTGTTGTGATAGCAAAACATAATACTAAATGTAAAGTATCATATTTATCTCAAATTTTTATAAAAAATTAGATCAAGTTTTGGAAAATAAAAGTGAATTTGAAACGAAACTGTCAATTTTAGAAAGGCAAGACTAAGACATTCAACACGGTGTCCAACAGATCACCTTTACGGGTCAATCGCAGTATTCATAGCAATGACGGCGTGGTAAAAACACTATATTTACAAAATAACAATTAGTGTAAAATATTTAGTCAGTTACATACCTCTGAAATAGTTTAATAAAATTCAAAAGTATGTTTCATTCTTGTATTGATGCACTTGCCACACATGATAAAACATAATAACCAAAAGTAACGAACTTGAAAACACATTAACTCGTTAATTACTTATGAAAAAGTCTCTGATACAAATGTTTACAGTTACACTGCATTTTCCGTTATTTTTCATGAAAAAAATATTTTAATCACAAATATGAATAAAAATCACAAGACAACGATAGAGTGAGCGAACGGCAAAGCGTTGGTGGGTTGCCGCGTTACTAAACAAATAATAAATGAAACGTCAGATACACGTGTTGCCAGTAAAGAAACGTATCGATTATTTACTCGATTTGCTAATGTAAATTTTGAAACAACTTTAAATGGATTCATCTTGTTTGTATTTAGACATTCACAATACTAAAAAATATATAGTTTAAGGCAACGTTTACATTTATTAAATTAAATTATTTAAAAGCTACATACATGTGATTTATTTACCCCTGGGTACTGTAATCTACCACTTAATAGGGAAGCTGCTCTTTACCTATTTCCAGGTCATTTGTTAGCATTAACAAATTAAATCTGTTTTTGCATCGGATGATAGAACCAATAATTGACAAGATCTAATTACATCAAAACAAGTCGAGTGACAGGTTAATCAAATTGAGTGTGCATTCGGTCGACTATTACTCCTAAATTTGTAAAGCAACTTAAGTTTTTCTACTAAAATCGTTATATTTAAATATGTTACTGCCGTAACGTTTGAGTTTCTAACTACAACCGTTTAATTGGTAGGGGGTAGATCACAGAACAGATTTGACTCTAACAAAAACAACGATACCTCACGCCCGCTTTGGGAAGTTAAAAAAAATTTTCATCCTCAATTTTACAAGTACCCGAAATAAATATTTTGTTTTAAAATTTTTATTTAATCACTTTATCGGCGTGATTCCTTGTTGTCTATAGAAGAGCAAATTTTTAAATGTAAGCGACTTTTACAAAAAAAATTGGAGAGAACACTAAAGACAACAAATATAAAAAAATGCAAACCCCGTTTTAAATTTATAGCAACGTCATCTAGCGAAAACAACTTATAGGGTATTTGACACTATCGAAAATAAGCTGCATTTTGTGGTCATCCTGATAGATAATAATCTAATAAAGCTTATTTCTTAACATCCGCAGAAAAAACATGTTTAGATTTAGTAAAATAACGTAAAGAAAATGCAATATTTTTAGGAATTTATTCAACGACGAAAACGTCCTATAATTGGTCGTCGTCACAACCAATTACGATTCTGTTTACTACAGCTACATAAAATATCGATGCCTGTAGGTATCGAGTACTTTATAGTAATTTACTGATAAAAGAATACTTTGCCGCTTCTGCTGATAAGAACTGCCAAAAAGAAATACAGAAAGAAAGAATCATTTACTAAGATTTTTAAAAAATCGAAGAAATAGGGAAAACGCCTTGAAAGTAATTCAAAATTACAAAGTGGATTTTGATGATATATTCTTTTGTCCAAGTTAAAAACTAATAAAAAATATCATCGGGATCTGATGTCTCTTTATCAAGTGCCATGCATTTAGTGAGCAGACAGACTACATGCATGTATAAAAAAATAGTACATTATTTTTCGTACTAATGTCTCATCCATCTGTAGGTCGACTGGCTGTAAATGCGAGCCCTGTCAACAAATATAAATGATTCTTAAAATGTTTATGATATAGAAAAAATAACAAAAAGAAAACCTTCAAATGTATCGATATGAAATAAAAAAGTTTCAATAGTTTTAGCGAATCCTTACCTAATTTTATCACCTATCTCTACTCTATATAGCTACTAATCTATTGTGATTGTGAATCTATTTTCTTCTAGACTTGAAGTTTGTTTGTTATTTATAGAAGTATTAGTACATTGTGGTACTACGCACCACTTAAGACAGTTGTGACTTATCGATTTGACATATTTACTGGCCTGTGACGTCACGTTCAGCGCCATTACATAGAACAGCGTTTTTCGCGCGATTTTAGCTATTTAAATTTTAACAATTATTTTGACCAAAAATAGAAAAGATTCCTATGAAATATAATGACAGTGTGCTTATAATATAGCAAACAACGATTTAAAGTAGTTTTCGGAAAAGTGTCAAATACCCTATTGTACCATTTTATGTTTTCGTCATATTAACAAATCCCCATTAAATTATGTTATCGGTGAAATCGCAAAATTAAAAACGAAAGCTACTTTTTTTTTACAAAAATCGGAAAAAATAAAAATAACAAACATAAGAAAAATCAAAATCCCGTTTTAAAAGTACAGTGGCGTCATCTAGTGATCAGTGGATCAACTAAATGGAATATTTTCGTGTACATAACTAAGATATACATGCATTTAATAACGAGGAAATATTAAAAAAAACGAAAGCACTACAAAAGCACCTCCACTAGATGGCGACTCTAGCAAAAGTTGTTTTTTGCAGAAAACGAATGGACCAAAGACCAATCACTTCCGTTCCTTTTAACTAACATATTAAAAAACTGAAATTTGAAAAGTTCGAAATTTAGATATCAATACAAATGGAATATGAGTTGTTTATTGAGTTTTGAAAACTATTTTTCTTATGAACTTGAAAGAAAACCGGTAAGGTTGTCATGGAGAAAACAAGAACGTACTGTAGCGACATCTAGTTTGATTTCGGGAACTATTTTTTTTTTAAATACTTCTTCATTGTACTTATTTGAATTATTTAAAACATTATTTAATCCTGTTTAAAAGCCTAAACCATTTAATAATGGATTTTGAAAAGGACGAAATGGAATGTAATTATAATAACAAATTGAATTGTAAAAATGGTTTCTATGGTAACGATTTAATGCCCTGTACGAACTTCCACTCCCATTTTCATCCCTTTATGTACTTTTTTTAGAGATACGTTATAAGATAGACTTTCTTTTTGAACTTTTATGGAAGATCGATTTTGTAATACATAATTTTTGCGTAACTTTCACGGTTAACGCAGCAAACGCAAGGAAAGCATTAAAAAGTTAAATATTCTTCCGTTTTTGCAACATTTTTCGTTGCTGCTCCACTCCTCCAAGTCATAACGTGATGTTATATAGCCGATATTCTTTCATGAACTAATCATTACAAATAAAAACATTTTGTTCCCGTAGTTCCTGCGATTATAGAGTCCAATCAAATAAACAAACCCTTCAGCTTTATTATTAGTATAGATATACACTACTATACGCTGCTGTATGTGTATATACGGCTGCACATCAGGCTACCAAAATAAGTCAAATTTCCTGAGTTGATTTTGAACTCTACCTATAATGTATTAAGGTTCAAAATCAAGTTGCGAAAGGTTTTTTGTATAGCTAACCGAGCTGTACCAAAAAGTTGCTCGTTTATCTGGAAACAACTTGCGCAACTGCCATTTTAACCGCAGTATTCTCAGATCTAGAATTAGACCTACCTAATTTTTATGTACATAAGTAGTGATAATTTACATAAAAAAATCTGGTGTTCGGATGAAATGAAACGTTTAA